GGCGCGGCGCGCGGCGGAGGCGGCCGAGGGAGCGGACTCCCCCTGGCGGGCGCAGCCGCCAGCCGCGGCAGCACGGCGATCGCGTCCATCAAAAGGGGTTAAACACGGGAAAAACGGTGGCGAGGAATTCACCCAAATGAGTGGGACTCATTTTAGCAAAACGATCCTAATCCTGCAATAGCTTCTCCCAGATACCCGCCCCGGTTGGTGATGGAGCGGGGGTCGGGGCAGGAGGGCAGCGCCGTCCAGGCCGGTGCGCGCAGGACGCGGCGCCTGGCCCAGCCGCGCGGCCCTCGGGCGCCGCACGCTCCCTGTGAGGAGATGATCGCACGTTAATAGGCCTGAATTCCCATCGATTTGCTTTTAGAGGTGCCCCTAGGAACGCTTCCTCTTTTCTAAAAGCCTATACAGTGACCATTATGTCATAAATACATATATTTGTAGTCTGCAGTTCTCAGCCTTTGGCTCTAGCTTGGTGCTATTTATACCCCTAACAACTGCTGTGTTGTCCTTGTCTCTTCAAGCGTGTTCGCGAGCGCCTGATGTTTCCTAGGGCAGAGGTGGCCCGTTGAGAATGCCATTTGCCTGGACAGGACAAAACCTCCCCGGTTCAGGTCGCTGCAATGCAGCAGCTGGTGATGAGGAGCCTCCGCTCAGCAGCAACTGCCTTTTTTTGTGTTTAGAATTGCCAGATTGCAATGAAAGAAACACACAACTTCCACACAGGGCCAGACCTCTCCTCTTTTCCTCCCGCGTTTTCCTTTGGCACGTTATCATGGATGTTTTTCTGACAGAACACATAGGGTGCTTCATGCAGGGAGGTGAAAATAGCTCTTTTCCGGCCACCCATGCCCTGTTCCCGTTGCTCTTTTCCATCACGTATTTTTGCTTCTTTTCCTTCCTTTCCTTTGTGTCCATCCCTGCCCGCCCACCCTTTCTGTGCACAAACACACTCCATAAGGCAACACAGGAGCTGCCGGGAGCGACCAGGCCACAGTGACCAGGGGGGTTTGGATCAAGGCAGCTTTTGGACTCAGCGGGCCTGGGGATTCACTCTCCTGCGTCCCCATGCTCGCTCGCTCGCGCTACAGGCGACGCCAAAAGCGACCCACAGCCGCGCGCCGCCTCTTCCAGGGTAGCACCGATGCACCGTTGTGCGCGGGGCAGCCCCACGGAGCAACCTCCGCTGCCCAACGCGGCCGCGGCGCTGCCGCCCTCGCCCCTCGCGGCGGCGCCGCCATTTCCCCCCGGCGCGGCCGCGGCGCCGCCCGCTCCCGCCCCCGCCGTCTCCCCGTTGGCCGCTGCCGCTGTCAGTCCGGGCGGCGTTTCCTGGGCCGGTGATGGCGGCCGCGGCCGGGGGCAGCCATGGCGCGGCCGCCGGGGAGCCCGCGGCGGGATCCTCCGCCGCCGCCCGCCGCCCCTAGGGACGCCGCGCTGTGGTAACTGCCCTGCCCGGGGCCCGGCGGGGACGAGCGGGGCGGCGCGGGGCTGCTCCTCCTTGGTGTCCCCCTGGGGGGGAACGGTCCCCGCGAGGACGGTCGCGGGTCGCGGCCGGTAACGGCAGCCGCGGCCGTTATTGGTAGCGGGTAACGGCCGCTGCCGGTAACGGCCGCCCTAGTAACGGTGGCGGGGAGCGGCGGCCGCGGATAACGGTCGCCGCGGGTAGCGGCCGTTACCGGTGGCAGCCGTCCCGGTACCGGCCGCGGGGGCGGCCCGGGGCAGCGGAGCTTTTCCCCGCGGCCCCTCGGAAGCCGGCGGGGAGCGGGCGTCGCTCGGGACAACGGGCGGGCGGCCCGAGGCGCCGGTGCCGGCCCGAGGTGCCGGTTCTGCTGCGTTTGGAGCCGCGTCGCATCAGTAACGTTTGTGCCCAGCTCCCCTCCCACCCCAGCGCGCCCTGAACTTGTTGGCACAACAGGGCGCTAAAAGAAGTAAGAAAACAAGATGCRTCACGGAGCTGGAAAGACCCGTTAATATATATGTTAATTTAGTATTTTCCCTCTGTAGATCAGYCCATACAGGCCTCTTTAGAGGCGTTTCTGTTGCTTGTTCAGCACGAGCCTGCGCTGCTAACAAGTTCTCTGCCTTTGTTCCAGACGTGCCGCACACCGGCTGCCATGGAGGGAACCCGGCAAAGTAGGATTTGTCGTCCGCACAAAATAAGTGAATCCTCCAAGGTCTGTAGCGCTTGTACCTCCCGGTTTGGGGGAATGGGACTGGGGGGCTCTGCTTTAGGAGGACTGTGTTGGAGTCTCATCTCGGAATTGCTGGGAGAGATCTAAACCCAGTGATTTACGAGCACAGAGATTTCAGAAACACCAATTTACTGTGYTGTGCTCAAAGACAGAAAAGTAGCAGAAAATGGGCATCTGTTCATTGTGACTCATAACTTAAAAAAGAAAGCTGCATCGCTGCAACTCAGTATTGTTTTCTATACCAGAACTTTAGTCATTAAGTTAAATAAAAATTGAAGCTAGCTATAGAAGCTGAGTTAGCTGTACTTTTTAAACTTAATCTTTTGTTTTGCTTGAAATTAGAACTGTGRTCCAGCAAAAGAGTTAATCCTGTGAAGTGAGAGGGACATTTTCTTGGCTTCGAGAGGTTCATTTCCTTTGGCTAGGATCTCTTTCAGCGCCGATATGTTGATCTCGGCACCAATACGTTGATCTCAGCGGGGAATCCCCACAAGTCCATCTTAAGTATCTTTACGCAGAGTCAGGATGCCAGCCTCCGTTTTATAAAATATTAATAGCAGCAGTAATTGTGATCATGTTGTTTTAATGTCAATGAAAGCTGCTGTTTTATTTATTTATTTTTCTGTTAACCGTGCCAGCACTGGTTTACAGATTTTGCAGACCAAGCATCTACCTACTATTGGAACAGCAAATCTATTAGTAGATGTGTCTGTCTTATTGAAGTTGAATGAGGCACATCTCATTCTCTTTTGCCTCGCTGWGGAGTAGTGATCCTCCATTAACAATCAAAAAGAAATTAGATACCTGAATCCAAGGGAAGTTAGAATATTTGCAGCTCTAATTTCTAATGTTTAAAGATTAAAAAAAASCCCTTAATTTCTAAATGGATCCTTTCCAGTGTAATCTTTTCTTGAGTGCTGATCCCATCTACCATTTAAATGGTTTAGTCTGAATGTAATAATAACTTATCGCATTAAAAATTAATTAACTTGACAGCATTGTGTTATCTTCTTGCTGAGACAGCAGCTGTCACTATCCRTTAAACTTAGAATTACTGGTTAATGCCAAACTTGTTCAACAAGAATATAAATAGCTTGAGAAAGCTCTTTAGTGTAAAACTTGTCCGGGTTTTGAAATATGTAACTATCAGGTTATATTTCTTGCCCTCTAATGAATGGCTAACTTGCTAAGTGGCTTGGAGATGTTAATATACTCCGTGTTTATTCAGTGCCATAAATAATCATTTTATGCCTGGTTTCTGAAGTGGTAAAAGTTCTACAGGGCAGCAAGGATTTCGGCAGTGTATGTGAGCAGGGCGGTTGGACTCGATGACCTCTGAGGTCCCTTCCAACCTTCGGCATTCTATGATTCTATGTTGTCATAAGTGTTTGTGGGCAGGATTACACTACTGGTTCCACAGCCAGTTAAATAAATGAGGATCTTCGGCAACTCTTACAGTCTAGTGTAATCTTGTTGTGCAAGGTGGTGATGTTAGAGAATATTGGTAGAGAYGATCAGCCACTTAGAAGGATGGGAATGAATGGAGGTTTGATTTAATCCAATAATTTTGTCCCTCTGGTCGAATTCAGTGAGGTTTGGTTAGCTCTTGGTTGTTACCTTTTCATCCTCTAAGAAAACCTTTCGTGTATTTGTCACAAACGTATGGTTTGTCCTTCATCATTTTTATTATTTTTCAATGGAAGTTAGTTGCCTGTGCTATAGATGGTGTTATAAATTCAGAAAACATGATGTGAAGTATGAAGAATACTCAGAGTTTTGTCCCACAAAGCTTAAAATTGTTGAAGCCTTTCCCATTAGATTGGTTTAACTCTGTGTAGTTGTGTGTATGCACTTACCCTGAAAGAAGGCTTTCTGGCAGCTTAGCCTGCATTGTTTAGAAAAGAGCAGAAGCACAATTAAAGAGAAACCACTTGGATATAATCTTAAGGGCATTCGTTTGGGAAATAACATCTGATAAAGCTTCCTTTGTAGATGAGGYTTAAACAGAGAAGCAGGCAGGGGCCCAGATGTAGCTCACCCTTCCTCTAGTGTCAACCAACACAAGGTGATTGTTGTGAAGTGCCCCTTGAGTTTTCCATTTGGAGGGGATGTAAAATGCAAATTTCCATATAGGAGCTGATAATGGAAAGTTATTAGCTGCAGGGATAAACAGCTGCATGGTAAACAATTGCAGGTCCTTGAGGAGTCGTCATGCTCCCGAAAGGTCTTTCTGAACCTACCTGACATGTATTTAGGGCTCTTTATGAATTTGTGGGCATGATTATGAAAGTAAATCAGTAAGCTCAGTTTTGCTGCAGAAACCAGTCTGTTTTTGCATCATGTTGTAGAAGCAGATTTCATTTAAGAGAAGTGCTGCTATCCTGCCTAAACCTTATCTATTACAGCACATGTGGTTCCTGATGCACATCTAGTCTTTGGCAGGCTGCCTGTCACTGTCCCACCTGGTGTTAACAGGTCAGGCTCCCAAACTTGCTATTAGCTCAGAGTGATTGGCTGCCGTTATGTCTGGACAGTGGTGAGCTGTGTGCATTARTCCTGGACAGCCAGTATGAAAGTATTATTAATGAATGATGTGTGCAGAGTGCTAATGCAAAGTAGGGTTTCCAGCAGCAGGAAAAACTTGGCTGTAGGTCTTGAACTTTTCTCATCCAAGTGCATAGAGAAGTTGTCCTGCGAGGTGACCAACCCGTTGCTAGACAGGAATAATCGTTTGCTGTCTGTCTGGAAAGCTGGGAACACATTTTTACCATTTTCTAAGCAGTAAATGGCATGCAATAGTTCARGAAAGGAGAGGCCGAATGACTGAGAGGCTTGAGGAGAACTCAGGTTGGTTGTAAGACTTTTCCAAAATTACTGTGGTCGGAGACACCCTCTCGGGATCAGAGCTTGTTGTGGGAATGTGGTCTGAACGTGCAGGACTGGGCAAGATCCCAGTCTTGCAACCAGAAATGTTGAGAACAAACTCGATGCAACACAAAAGTGCTTCCTTTCCATCTCCTCTCATTTCTTCTATATGTTCTTGCAAGCCCTGCCACTGTCTAGTTTTCAATTGGTAATTAAAATGGTGTATTTGCATTTAGCTTAACCCAGCCCTTATTGAGGGAGATCATAAGGCAACTGACTGTATGCACCAGCATTTTCTTCCTTCGGAGGATGATCTTAAGAGCTCTATCACTTGACATACCGGAGTGACCAGTTCCTTCAGTATGTCTTCAACAGGACTTATAAGGGGTAATCAAGTTTTCAACTTGATTCTTTTAAGACTGGTAATGTAGGTTTATGTGAAAGAAGGGGTTTTTGCTTCAGAAAGTCGGTGGCACATACAGAGCTAGTGAAAAGAAAGTCTGGACCAGAAGCATCCCAGAAGAGCAATTAATAGACAAGTTCTGAGAGCATTTTCCTTTACAGGGGGGTGTGTGTGTGTATAATTGAATTAGTTAAAAGCTACCTTGGTTTCTGGAAGCAAGTGGTAGTCAAATGGGAATAAGTTACCCACATGTGTGTCTTTGCACATAAATAAATAGCTATTGTTTCTTTTTTTTTTTTTTTTTTTTTTTTAATTACCGTGTGCATGCCTGGAATAATATGAAAAGACAGGGATTTTGCCCTAATGAGCTTACCAATGCAGAGCCCTGAAAAGATTTAAGAGGGGATAGCTGTCAAGTAAGCACTAACCCAAACAATACATGGGCTGAATAAAAATTTGGCACGCTGCTGTGTGTGTGTCTGCCCCTCCAAATATTTAGTGTGTAGCTTGGTTGTGAGGGACAATGTAAAAAGCTGTTTGAGGGACAAATAAAAAGGGAAATGTCAGCAACATATTTTAAAGACAATGAGTGGAAGAGTTTCAGAAAATTATGGTTTTATAAATTATGAGGAAAGTTTGGAGCCAGTGCTGTGGAGGGGACGGGAGAGTTTTATGACAGAAATGACTAGTTGGAGGGCATAGAGCTTGTACAGGCCCATCAAAGTGAAGGTGAGGAGCTTGGGCTCATAGTATGTCACAGGTCAACTGGTTCAAATCAGAAATTGTAGCACAAAGAAGTTGTCTGTCCTGTGTGTGAACATCTGTCTTGAGAAAATGYTTTCAAGAATGCTCAAGTTTCCCTTGCTAAAGAATTCCGTTTGCTTATTGCAGGTGTACAGATGGGAYGACCACTCTAGTCTTGTTCTTCAGAGTCTGAATGAGCAGAGGCATCGAGGCCTCTTTTGTGACATTGTTCTCGTGGTGGACGAACAGAGAGTCCCTGCCCATCGGAACCTCCTAGCTGTTTGCAGTGACTACTTCAACTCTATGTTCACTATTGGCATGCGAGAAGCCCACCAAAAAGAGGTAGAACTTTTTGGAGCCTCTTATATTGGCCTCAAGGCTGTGGTAGATTTCCTGTATGGCAGTGAGCTCTCATTAGACGGTGGCAATATTGACTACGTGCTCGAGACAGCTCATCTGCTGCAGATCTGGAAGGTGGTCGACTTCTGTTGCGAGTATCTTGAAAATGAAGTCAGTGAGGAGAACTATTTGTACCTGCAAGAGCTGGCCTCCATCTACAACCTGAAGCGCCTTGACTCCTACATCGATTCTTTCATCTTGCAGAACTTTGGCACTCTGTCTTTCACTCCGGACTTCTTGCAAAATGTTTCCATGCAGAAGTTGTGCCAGTACCTGGACAGCAGCAATGTGCAGCAGGAATGTGAGCACGACTTGCTGCAGGCTGCCCTGCAGTGGCTTACGCAGTACCCGGAGAGGGAGAACGAGGCCTACCAAGTTCTGGATAACATTCACTTTCCTTTGATACCTAAAAGTGATCTTCTGCATCGAGTCAAGCCCGCTGTCTGCTCTCTTCTTCCCAAAGAAGCAAACTGTGAGGGTTTTATAGAGGAAGCAGTGAACTACCACAACAATGTCACCGCTCAGCCGGTGCTGCAGAACAAACGGACCGCTCTGAGAACTAGCGAGGAGAGACTCCTCTTTGTTGGSGGCGAGGTATCCGAGCGGTGCTTGGAACTGAGTGATGACACTTGCTTCTTGGACACCAGAAAAGGGCAGTGGGTGGCAGAAACCCCTCTCCCAGCCAGACGAAGTCACCACTGCGTTGCAGTCTTGGGAGGCTTCATTTTCATAGCCGGGGGCAGCTTTTCAAGAGACAATGGAGGGGATGCAGCTTCAAATCTCCTATATAGGTATGATCCCCGCTGTAACCAGTGGATAAAGGTGAGACTTGAGCTGCATTATGTCTCTGTTTGAAGTCCTTAATGTTTGGAATATGATTTTTTTTTTTTTTTTTTTTTTT